GATGGAGGCCGCTCGCAGCAGGGGGTCATCGTATGTTATGGTGGCTGCCCAATCCATTGGACGAGCACGAGGCAGCCGTTTGTGGCAAGATCGACCGCGGAGGCTGAGTTGTTGGCAGCCATGGAGGGGGTGCTGCAAGGGGAAGCCTGGGCGGAGATCATCGCCGACCTGGAGGACAGGAAGGTCGCATCGGTGTGGGACAGGGCGGGCATCGATGTGGAAGGGCGGGACCAGCTGAAGTCGTTGAAGCTGGTGATGATGCAGGACAATGCGGCAGCGGTCACGCTACTGCAGGGCCCAGGTGGGTCATGGAGGACGAGGCCACTGAAGATCCGGGCCAGGTCGGCCAGGGAGAGATTTGAGAATGGCTTCTGGGCGCTGCAGCACTTGCCGGGCGAGACGATGTTGGCGGACATCGGTACCAAGGCCTTGGGAAGCTCTCGCTTGAGAGCACTGGCCGAGATGATGGGTATGAAGATGGGCGAGAACGACGCGATCCCGGAGAAGGATGAGGACCTTGTGAAGGTCGGGGAGGGGAACGCGGCCAAGGTGAGGGCGGTGCACAGTATCGAGCATGAGCGAGGCCTGAAGGTCTTGACGGGCATCACGTGCATTATGCTGGCTGATGCAGCGGACATGGAGGATGAGGAGGCTTCCCAGGAGGAGCTTCTGTTTTGGACGGCGCTTCTGGTGGCGGTGGTGGCCGCGTGGGAGGCGCTGAAGTGGAGTGCGAGAAGGGCAGTAGGCGCGGTGCGGAACCTGCAGAAGGGGGAGGATTGCGGGAGTATGTCAACTACCGGAGGTGGAGTGAAGGTGAAGACTATGCAGGGTGGTAAGGAGAGGGCAAGGCAGAGGTTGCTTGAGAAAAGGGCAGACAGAGAGAGCTCCGAAGAAGGGCAGGAACGGAGCACAGAAGGAGGAGGAAGGCCGGGCAGCAGTAGTTATGCAGGGTGGAAAGTTGGAGGTGGAGATGTGAGGCAGCCCGGGTTGGCGCCGGAGAAGAGTTCTGCGGCGGAGTGGAAGGTTTCCTTGGATGAGGATGAGACAGTGGTCTGGGAGGATGTGAAGAAGATCTTCCCGGGGATCGTGAAGGAGCCGGTGGGGACGGAAGACCGCTGGTTGGAGAAGGGCGGCTACTACATCAAGATGCACTGCAGAAGGAGGGTCACGGAGTTTGACCCACGGAGGGGCCACATGCCGAGGGAGAAGATTGGGCCGGAAAGGATCACGGTGATGAGGACGTCAGGGCCTGTCTTCGTGCTGGGCGGCGACTACACGGTGGGGTCGCGGTCTGGCCTGAGGGAGTTCGTGGGTTTCACGATCTTCAAGAAGCTGGAGGTGGGGTCTTGAGCTGGCGCCAAGGAGCGCAAGGTGGCTGAGAGCGATAAGATGCTCGACGCCATACATTTTGGCTGTTGGCACAAAGTGCCAAGGGGGGGTGCATGAGATGTGCACTTCACACGTTGACCATGCGGATGAACCGATTCCCGCAGACCTTTTTATGCTTTGAAGGAGAAAAGTCGCCCCGGAGGTTTGCACAATGCATCTCTATTAAAAGGGCCCCCTCTTTTCCAAAAACACACATTGTGACATGTTCTTTTCTGACGTAAAGCCCGCGCCTCTACAAGGGAACCTTTTTTGGTGAGCAAACACATGCTTTGACCCTGCCTCTCCCACATGTCCGTGCGAACCTTTTGCGCAAGGCTCTCAAGTTGCCCCTCGAGCTGTGGTCTCTCACAGTTGTCCCTCAAAGTGTTCTCTCATCGTTGTCCCTCAAAGTGTGGTCCCTCTCTCACAGTTGTCCCTCAAAGTGTGGCTCACAGTTGTCCCTCAAAGTGATCTGTCACAGCTGCCCCTCAAAATGTGGTGTCTCACAGTTGCCCCTTGAAGCATGGTGTCTCACAGCTGTCCCTCAAAGTGTGGTCTCTCACATTTTCCCCTCAAAGTGTGGTCTCCCGCAGTTGTCCCTCAAAGGGGGCTTTCACAAAACTGGTTCCCTTCAATATAAATTTTCTCGTGGTGGCAGTCCCTCCAAATGTTTGTCCCTCAAAGTGGTCTTTCGCAACTCTTCCAGCTGTTTCTCAACAATGTAAACTCACATGTGTCCATCAAACGACCCGAAACAGTTTTCCCCGAAGGTTGTGTTTGACAGTTTGCCCCTCAAAGCCAAGTGGTATTTCGCAATTGTTCTGCCCCACAGTGTGGTCTCTTGAGATGTTTTTTTCGTGAAAGGTGAGTTCCCTCGCTGTGTCACTTAAACGGGTATAGTGCACAAAACATGTGCACACGTGCGCACAAACAGACGCCCGCGTGACAGTGCGTGAAGCAAGGAAACGTGAAAGCGCTCACAGAAATGTAGCGCCTTGTGTGATGAAAGAAGCTCTTGTGCAGAGACTGCGGCTTGACGACGCGCTTCGCAAAAGTCTGCACACAAGGCGCCCTGCGGCCAAATTCGAGCGTGAAAGAAAGACACGCACCAAGAACAAGCCAAGAAGGCTGTTGCGCGTGAAAGCCGGCTCTCAAAACAGGTTGAACTTGGGAGTGAAAGTTTGGTTGAAATATGTGTTTCTGGGGGGTCGCAGTTTGGTCGCAGTTTTAAATATGTGTTTCTGGAGGGGTCGCAGTTTGGTCGCAGTTTGAAATGTGTGTACATGGTATGGGTCGAAGTTTCGTCGAAGTTTCGACCAAACTTCGACCCCAAAAGCAACACAAATTCTAACTATTAGTCAGATTTTTCCTGACTATTAGTTAGAATTCCGGGCTGACTATTAGTCAGAATTTTTGTGCCCGGAAAAATAAACTATTAGTCAGAATCGATGTGTATATTAGTTAGAATCACGTTTGTCTAAAAACAAGAATTTAAACTAAATGGATTTAACTAATAGTCAGAAAAATAAGATTTAACTATTAGGCAGAAAATAGTCTAATCTAGTCTATTGGGAGACTGGCGCGGTGGACGCTCGTGACATGCGGAAACCGCCCGCGAGCAAGACTGGCGCGGTGGACGCTCGTGACACGCGGAAACCGTTCGCGAGCAAGACTGGCGCGGGGGACGCTCGTGACATGCGGAAACCGCCCGCGAGCGAGACTGGCGCGGTGGACGCTCGTGACATGCGGAAACCGCCCACGAGCGAGACTGGCGCGGTGGACGCTCGTGACACGCGGAAACCGCCCGCAAGGGAGACTGGAGCGGTGGACGCTCGTGACAGGCGGAAACCGCCCGCGAGCGAGACTGGCGCGGTGGACACTCGTGACAGGCGGAAACCGCCCGCGAGCGAGACTGGCGCGGTGGACGCTCGTGACAGGCGGAAACCGCCCGCGAGCCAGACTGGCGTGGACCCTCGTGACATGGGAAAACCGCCCGCGAGCGAGACTGGCGCGGTGGACGCTCGTGACATGCGGAAACCGCGAGCGAGACGGGCTCGGTGCACGTTGTGACATGCGGAAACCGCCTGCGGGCGAGATTGGAGCGATGGACGCTCGTGACATTCGACTGGCGCAGTGGAGGCTCGTGACATGCGGAAACCGCCCGCGAGCGAGACTGGCGCGGTGGACGCTCGTGACATGCGGAAACCGCCCGCAAGCGAGACTGGGGCGGTGGACGCTTGTGACACGCGCAAACCGCCCGCGACTGGCGCGGTGGACGCTCGTGACATGCGGAAATCGCTCGCGAGCGAGACTGGCGCGGTGGACGCTCGTGACGTGACATGCCGGCGAGCGAGACTGGCGCGGTGGACGCTCGTGACATGCCCGGCTCCATGTGAACAGCCCGGCGCTACCTGACCCGAACAAACGGTGCCAATGTGTTTCTAGGACAAACCCTCTCTTCAGAAGCTGTAGCCTCTTGGGGTTCGCCCTACTTATTTGGAAGCAGCCTGGAAGCACGTTGACATGAATATGCTGAGCACACTCGGCCCAAACAAAAGGGCGCATGAACATCCGAACAGCTGACCCCGGTCTACGCAGATCGTGGTAACACTGTGTCTCAGACTTGTTTCAGACAGGCGTCAGACCCACCAAGTGACCGAGGCTTGTCCACACCGAGCCCCCCGCAAAAGCGCAGCGCCGGCCCCGTCTCCACACACCTGCGGCGAATCCACCCAACTTGCCATCCACACGCATCCGATTGACAACGTGCGCGGCCCTTTCCACAAAGTCACCGGTTGCAATTGGTTGCGAATGGGAAAATAGGTGGAGAAACTAACAAATCCAAGCAAGCTTACGAAGCAAGTTTGTGAAGGCCACGTGCACGGCTCCATGTGAACAGCCCGGCGTTCCAGGTGCGCCAAGATTGTCCTTTTTGCCGCACACCAATGTGTTTCTAGGACGAACCCTCTCTTCAGAGTCTGTGGCCTCTTGGGGCTCGCCCTACTTATTTGGAAGCAGCCTGGAAGCACGTTGACATGAAAATGCTGAGCACACTCGGCCCAAACAAAAGGGCGCATGAACATCCGAACAGCTGACCACGGTCTACTCAGATCGTGTTGTAACACTGTGTCTCAGACTTGTTTCAGATGGGTGTAGAGCGAGCTTATGCCTTGTTTCCAATTTGAGAGTGGTAGTTTGTGCGGATCCATTTTCGGATTTCTGCGATTGGTTCTTCATGATGAATCGGATGACTTCGTGCCTTCCATGTAGTGCGGGGCCTGTCATGTTTCACCCGTACCTTTGCCTGTTTCTCTGTGCTTGAGTCACGGTTGCTCCCCTTCTTCATCTGTTTGGGGTTGATTTCCCAACTGTGAACAACTTAAATCTCGGTTTGCCTTCGGACCCTTGAGCCGGAAAACAACGGGATCCACATGCCATGGGGAGTGAGGCTGGTTTGCTTTTGGGTTCCCGGGCTCCTCTTGTTTCCAACTAATGGGTTTTACATTAAACCACTAAAAGTTAAACTTTTAGCAGGGGAGCAGAAAGCAACCGAGGAAACTTGCCCCTTTCCCAAGGACAGCTTCGGATGTGTATGCCCTGCTAGACACAGACGGGCACCGCGAGTCGCTGAGGCTTTCGCGGCCAACTATGCGGTCTGACACCCAGCGCGGAGAATTCGGCGTCTGTTTGTTTCATGGCGATGCGAGTCACAGGCCGCTTCTCACACCCCTGTGGATGTGGACTTGGCCGGGATGCTCGGTGCAAGCTGCAAGCTGCAAGCTGCAAGATCACGACGAGACGTGATAGCGGAACTTTGTGACGTCCGGCTGGCAGACTGAGCCGTGAGGACAAGAACCAGATCATCCCTGAGGATCCCAACAGGGCCCAGGCACACGTCTGTACTTTTTGCTGTGAATTCACCCCGTTCTTTCTTGTCAAGAAAAGACGCAGGACCAGGAGTCGCCAGATGAGGAGGTCCAGTACTGGGTCATGGAGGTGGGCGGGTTTCTTCAGGAAACCCAATGCCGAGTATGCTGTATGTCGGTTTTTTGTTCTCGTGTTGCTGCATGGTTGCATGAGAGAGAGCGTAGAACAACAGCTAGGTCCTCCAGTAGAGGTTAGAATAAGGGTACCCTTTTTTCTGTAGTCTATCTTAGTGGGGGAACCCTCCCCAAAAAGAGGAGAGAAGGGCACTACTGGGGGACCCAGACAGAGCAGATGAAGAGGGTGACATGGGAAGGGGTCACAATCCAATCTGCAACCTAGGGCTCTGACGGAGCTGGCCCAGTGTTGGTTCGCCACGAGGAGCATCATGCGGGGAGCCTGGAGTGAAACAACGCATGGCCGTGGGTCAACACCAATGGTAAAATTGAGAGGGCCACGCCAGTCAAGGTACAATGTTTCTCGAGCGGTTTTTGTTCGAACCAGTGTGTGCAGTAGGAGTTGTAGTAGGAAGTGCACAGATTCCATGGCAGTGGATGAGAGCAAGGCCACATACTTGCCGCTGTTGCGGGTGTGAACTGTTCAGCGAGCTTCGTTTCTGGCACCTTTGGGGCAGGTCAGCATCGGCCAATGTGAGAGTCAGCTGTACCCAACAGCAGAGCACCCTAAGAGGGTGGCTCACTTGAAGTACACAAATCTGAAGAGCCCAGCCAGAGTCTGACAAACTGTTGACTGGAACTGATGCCGAACAACTTCAGTGCCGACCGCGTTGGCGGAGCCTCACCCGCCACAAAATGGGCCGCCCAGCACCGCTGCAGAGTCCGTCTCCCAGTAGCAACATGCATCTTGCCCCGGTTTGTCAAGCAGGTCGCCCGGAACATTCACTGGGTCAAACAGTCTGTTTCAGAATGTCAATGTGCAGATGCTGAGGGAGGCCTCTTCGAGTGTAAAGCCTCTTTTTTGTCTTGAGCTCCAAAGCTCTTTTCAGCCGCTTGAAGAAAGCTGCTCTAAAGGAAAGGCTGAGGGGACTACGCGCCCTTGGCGATCAAGCCACAAGCCACTCGCTCCTTTTCTACAACCGCGTGTGGGAGATAGGGTAGCAGATAGCCAACACCGTCAACTTCCAAAGCGAAGCTCAAGCCAAAGTTATGCAGCCACTTCACAAGTCTAAAGCGGTCCTCCCAGCATGCCAGCATGCCGCGCAGAGTTTGTGAGACTCTTGCGCCGGACGACATGAACAAGTGACCAACGCGCAACTTGCGGTTGTGTTGGCTGGAGCTGTCATTGCCGGCTTCGGCTTCTACTGCCCGTTCATACTGGGACGAAGTGCTATGGGAAGCCATTGTCTGTGGGTATATACAGAAAAGCTATCATGCCAGGATTTCTTAGGTCGTGCAGGATGAGATTTGATGAGCTGCTTTGATGATCTGCTGCTTGCATTTCGCGTCCATCCCGGTTACGGTATGTTCTGTTTCCGAGCTGTTGCTACGACTGGAAGGAGTGGTGTGTTCCATGGGATAGCCAAAGGTGCACAAGTGCTGGGCATGGATTCCCACGTGTTTGTTTGACACCTTTTCTATCCAAACATGAGCGAGCGGTTTCAGGATTTGAGGCCGCGGATGGCATTTCAGCTGATGCGGTGCTTGGTTACGAAGGACATCGCAGAAACCCCGGCAAAGCACATGAATTCTTAGTTCTTGGAAGGCCCTTGCATGGACAGCAGGGCCTTCAAAAGCTTCAGTTGGCAAACATTTTTTGTGGAACCCAACGAAAACAGCTGTCATCCAGAGCAAACCACACTTCAAACAACAGAAACAGCAACCCATATCGAGTGAAGGTTGCCTATCACACCTTGAGGCCAGCCATGGACACCATGAACATGAACACAGCTCTCACCACCATGGTGGCTGCGTGCTCAAAGATGCCTTTGCATAGCCGCAGGAATTTGCAAGCCAATCAGTCCAATTCACGATTTTCGAGTTTGTTGAGAAATAAACCCTCGGAGAAAATGCCTTTGTGCTCAGGAAAGGATGGCATGTCCTATTCCGAGCATGAGGATGCTTGGCTGCTTACCAGTTTGCTTGCCCCGTGAGGGAAGTGTTGGCAGAATCTTTTGCGGAGGCTCGTTCGGGCCAGGTCTATCTGATGCCACGTTGAAGGTAGCTTCTTGAACTACCAAGGAGACAGTCACGGAGACACGGCATGCTGGCCATCATGGCATGCCCGACCTGCTTTGGCCGGGCGTCGCAGTGCTCCATCATCAAGTTTTGCTTTTGCGGACCGCACACGGAAGACTCAAAAGTCTGCCACTGAAACTCACCTGGACGCTGGAGCATACGTTGCATGCCTTGACAAGCTTTTTGTCGCACGAGACAGCTGGGAATCTTCGCGGCCGCCAGGGGAAGGTGGCCACGTCTCTGTGCTGGCCTTGGCCCTTACCGACAGGTGGCTGTGGGTCAAAACCAATGGCACCATTTTGGGGTAGGTGCACCACCCATTTTAGTCTATTTTAGTGGGGATTGGGATGTTCACTGGGGGTACGATTTGGATTTTGACCCATGACCAGATGTGGGCATGAAGTTTAAGACCAATTGATAACTTTGCACTAGGGTTCACTGAGGTGAGACATCACGTTGTCCAGCATGTCCACGAGCCGCACGCCTGCGCAAGGTTTTGATGGCTGGTGAAAGCAAGTGTTGGGTGGCGGGACTTCGAGAAGCAGATTCATTACACCCAAGCATCCATGTTGACCGAGAGATCGCTTTGACTTGTACTGCGGGCCAGGAGACAAGCTTTGTTCGAAAGACCGTCACAATCAGATACCACCGGGCCATTTGAGAGTTGTGGGCCAGGCGACAGCGCTATGTGCCACCGCCACCCCCACCGGTTCGGCGCTTGCAGGGGTTAGCGAACAGGAGGCGTATCTGGGGGACTCCCTTGTATGCCAAGAGCAACGCGAGAAATTGAGATGGAAAATCGGCCATCACAGGGCTGCTTGACATTGTGGTGGGCAGTTTTTTGAATACACCTGTAGCTTAATGTTTGTTAGTTCTTCAGACAACTGTTCCAAGGATGATGAGCTTCGACTTTTGGATGAACCACAGGCGCAGATGCATCGTGAGAGGTTAAAAAGCACTGGGGGCATCCAACCGGCGCAGACTTGGATCGTGCAGGATTGGAGTGCGTGCCACTCCCGTTTCTGCCATCGATAAATTGTTCGATTGTTTCGCTGAAGCCAGGTTGAGCCGTTGCAGCCGAAGATCATCATGGGGGGGCTCTTGGCAATTTCTGCCCAGGCTGGGCACTGCGTTGCTGAGTTGCTGCATTTCTGTCGTTCAATCGTTCGCAGGTTTTTCTCTCGGAGTTTTTTCTTTCTTCCTGTTTTCTTTCTCGCTTTTGGCTGCTTGGGTTTTCGGCTTTTTTATCGTTGACTGGTTTCGCAGCTCTACCTTTGGGGCAACGTCTTTGTGACGCTCTTCAAGCCGAATCGGGCAGCAGCGGCAGGCGCGACTCAGCCGACGTTGCAAGCTGCGAGAGTTGTGCTCAAGCACATGGCTGTGGTTGTCAAAACCGTTTTGGGATCCCACTTTGGTTGGTAGGTGAATTCACAACCCATTTTAGAACCTATTTTAGTGGTGATTGGGATGTTCACAAAAAACAAAAAACAACAAAACGGGATTTTGAACCATGGCCACACTCGTATGAGATTTCCGAGAGAGACGCTTGAATCGCAGGGATTGTTGTACACGTAGTCTGTTGGCGGATGTTTACTACCCCACTGCACCTCAGACATGGATCTTGAAAGAGCTGGTTTTCTTGCAAAGCTCTTTCTCTCTGGATCTTGGCTCCGGCTGAAAACTAGATTGGTGGAGACGCTTTTGCAGACTTTGCAGGAGGATCCCCCAGCGGGCCTGCAGGCACGCGGCTGACCGGAAAACAAGACGGCCGATGTCGCTCAAGAGCTTGTGGAGATGTCATGTTTGTAGCGCAAGAAGTTGGCCGCACCTCGCTTTGGGATTGCAGGTTGCAGCCTAGCATTGCCACTGCATGAGATCACGTCCAGGAAATGCGCCGGAGGAGCAGCCTCCTCCCCCGCCATTGGTGCAGGAACCCCGGACCCTGTGCGTCGGGGTGGCTTGAGAGGTTTGGTCTGAGCTGTGCCTGGAATCATTTTGGCCTGGATTTCACTGCTGCAGATCGGGACGCAAACAAAAAGCACCCAGCTGAGGCTCTTTGGAGCTGGTGGCACTGTGGGAGAGCCCGCCAGAAGTTGAGCGGGGTGAAACTAGGCCGTCCGTCCGATTCTGGCTCTGAAATGCAGACACCAGATCGTGCATGACATTTCTGGAGTTCTTTGTTCTCCAGGTGGCTTGCGCATTCATGGCCGCCTGCAGAAAAAACAGCACATGCCCCATCAACAGCGCTTGCGACCCATGTTTTTTCTCAACTAGGACTGCAACTCTTTGCTTGGGTGGAGCACAGCGGGAGGCTTTTTCATTAATCGCTGGGCAGGTCAAAACGAGCCGGCAGAAAGTAAGCTGCAGTCTTTTGTCGCTTTGTAATGTGCTACGTGGCTAGCAACGCAACAGTTAGGTCGGCTTTCTCAGCTTTTTACTGGTGTATGCGACGTTTGATTCTGCACTTGTGGCTCTCTCGGACTGCTCTTTGGCTCCAGAAGGAAGTATAGGGCTGGGGTCTTAGGACCGCGCCCAGCTCGCGTCTCAGTAGGTTGGATTGGGCTGAAGGGCAATTCGTTTGAAGGCTCGCAAGGGAAAGGCCGGTATGAAGGCGGCAAGCAATGATGATGCAAGCTCCTTGTGATCTCAAAGATCTTCACATGGTTGTTGTTGGGACCCATTTTGGCATTTTTGCTTTTGGTGGTTTAGTGGGAAATCCCCACTGAACTGCTAAAATATGAATTGTTGCTCCCCTTCCAACGTCAACCTTCAACCACACGCACGTTTGATGTAGCTTAATGATTATAGGTGTGCAATTAGTTGCGTTGTTTTAGCCTGCCCAAGGCAAAAGTAAGGAATGACTGGGGGGTCTTTTTGCCACCTGTGGAAAAAATGATCGACCCCTCTAGTGAAGGATTCCTTTTTGAGGGGGGTCGCCAACAACTTTTCTCACCAAAGATTTGAGGCAAAAAAAGGATCCTTTTTTTAAACACCAAAAACAAGAAGAAAAAAAACAAGACTTGTGAAGAGCTTGCGGGTTTTGGGACCTTGGCACATCAAATGCTTGAGCTGGGTTTATTTGAGGCGCAATGAGCTTCTCGGTGCTGGAGCAGTTGCGTTCCGCGCATGAGGTGGGGACGTCGGTTTTTTTCTGAGCCTTCTGGCGGAAGCCGTTGGCTGAAGGTTCAGGGACAAAAATCCAACCAACAGCGGCGGATCCTGCGGATATCCGGCTTCTGAATTCTTGAAGCATGGTTCTGGGAGACCATTTTTATACCGGGTGTTGAGCAAGTGACGCACCTTTTTTTTTTAAAAGTCCATGCCTAGGACATTGAGAACATCGAGAAGGCCATGAGCATGGTTTTGATGGACAAGCGCCTTGGAGATCTTTGGGCATGGGATCAGGGCGGCATTGCAGTGGAATTGGCTTCGAGATCGCTCCGAGGCACAAGACTTCCAGATCAGCAGTGACCTGCGAGCATGTAAGGAAGCCTAGCATGCACGTCATTCAAAACGTTTTAAGTGCGTAAGTGGTGTTGGATGAAGCTGTTTTCCACTCTTTGTTCTTTCTTTCTTTGTTTTGTTTCTCTCTCCCTCTTGATTCGTATGTTGTCGGGCTTTGGTGGCATTCGACAGGGTTGGTTGCGAAACCACACGCTTGCCAACTGAAACAAATGAATACCAGATTGCAGGATTCCAGGTGTGAGCGAGATTGCGTCCAGGATTGCTCCCAGGGAAATTTGCAAGCAAATCTTTGCTGAGGCATTAAAGCACCTGGTCGAGACAACGCAGCTGAAGTGCAAAACCGCCATTGACATTTACCAGGAGACCGCGCAAGCTTGCTTCAGATTGAGCTGATTGCTTTCAACATCCGTACACTTTCTTGTCTTGCTGCCCAAGTCACAACAACTCTGCCCCATTTGCTATAGATGCTTGCCTTTGGATATGTGAGGACAAGGATGGGATGCGTACAGATGACATCAACGCTCTAGCTGGACAGCGAGCAGACAAGAAGGGAGGCAGGGTTGTGATGCGGAGTCTGACGTGTGAGGTTGCAATCATAGAAGATAGCTATGATTTTTGCTGAGCAGAGTCAGTATCAGCACACCAAACCTCTCGAACCAACAATCGGAACCTCCTGCAACTCAGCCAGGCGACGTGTGGACTAGCTTCTACGACAAAGTCAAGGAAGTCAAGGACAGTCACATCTTTGACTCACTTTGGGTCTTGCACGATGGCATTTTGAAGGAGCTGCAGATTTCTCTCTCGGGTTTGAGAAAAAAAATGGGCCGCGCTCCAGGATTACCACCGCCGCTTCTCGGTGAACCAGGGCCTTCCGGAGCTGCAGAACTCGGAGTGGCGGGGGCAGTCCGACATGCGGAGGGCATAGCCTCCCCTGAACCATTCGAGTGCGGCTCCGGAATCTGGCCGGTCAATCATGGGATCCCATTTTGGTTGATTGGTGAATTCACCACCCATGTCGGAACCTATTGTAGTGGGGATGTTTTTTTTTTGACCCACAGCCATATGGGCACCGCCACCGAATGCATGTCACAAACTGCGAGGCTCTGTGCGAAGCTTGGTAGGTTCTACCAGCGGGCCATGGAGAACGACAAGACCGACAGCTTGTTCTCCGGAGAGGAAGACTACGGAAAGCGCCGGGCCGCCCAGGGCAGCTGGCATCTGTGCTCGGAGGATAGTTTGCACAAAGGCGTGGACATGCACGAGCTCTTCGTGACATACCTCAACCTGAAGAAAATCTCAACACTTAGGACTGAGTCCTGGGCTGGGCGCTTTAGCAGGTGGAAGGCAGTTGCGAAGGATTGGACAGACTTGAGAGAGGCAAACGGGAACTGGCAAGCTGCATGGGTGCCAAAGGCAGAACGAGTGAAAGAGCACAGGGAGACTGTTGAAACAAGTTGGCTTCTGCCACCTCACTGATGCGATGGAGCAGCATATGCCAGGAAAGCCAACTTCAGACGGGCAACTTACGTGCGCCTGAAGAAGAAGACCGTTGACTTGGAGCCCGACGATCCAGAGGTGGACAAGTCCAGGACTCAGTCAAGTGACCATCTCAAGCTCATGGCATTTTTCGACCCAACCGCCTTGTCTTTTTCGAAGGTCCGACTCTTGGCAACGAGATGTGTGGCTGTGGGTCAAAACCAACGGTACCATTTTGGGGTAGGTGCACCACCCATTTTAGAACCAATTTTGGTGGGGATTGGGATGTTCACTGGGGGTACGATTTGGATTTTGACCCATCTTCAAACCTGCTTTCTAAGGGTCGTGGAGAAGGAGTTCCATGAGCTGGACTACATCGAGTGGCTCAAGACCTTCGACCAATTCCATGAGATCAGCAGGTACTGCAAATTCCGCCACTGTCTCAGCGGGTGATCCCAACTGCAACCTGCAAAGTTGCGGGGTGGGACGCATTTGCCAGTGTTTGGCCTAGCTTCGGGTTATGAGATGGTCAGAAGTTCTGGGTTTTGGCATTCTGCTCCTGGTGGCACCGCCTTTGAGGTGACAAGAATTACACGGCTCAGCCCTTACCGAGCTACCGTCAGTCGTTCAGGGTGTCCTCACATGCGGCAGCAGAAGCCTTTTGCGCCTGAAAGCATGTTTGCGATGCTCACTTGTGACAGCAAGTGCCAACACTTGGAATCCTAGGGACTTGTTTTGACATAAAATGAAGAGCAAAGGCGGCACCCTTGCAATTGAGCTGCTTTGATCATTTCACAAGAAATGGGGCTACGTCGTAGCCAAGACGTGCTTTTCTGGACAACTGAGCCCTTTGCATGATGTGCAGTCAATGAGTTGTTTGCCTGTTTGCGTGCTGAAGGATTACCTCGAGGGCTTGATTTCCTACCTCCGCGGCTTCTTGCTGCGGACGCAGCCCTTGGCCTGGTAGCTAAGTCGAGCTCGAGAGCCATGCAGAACAAAAGCAGTCGCGAGATGACGTTTCCATGGCAGAAGTGTAACACTATAAACCCTTAACAAATGGTTAATAAACAGAAGTCCCCACCTAAATGATGTCCACCAAAGCGTCCCCGAGTCAAATTCTGATCCTTGTAATGTTGACCCAGGATTAATAAACCCGTGCCATTATTAGGGGGTGTTCCCTCCAAAAGTGATGAATCCCCACCAAAAGGGGACACCCGCCTATGAATCAACCAGAGGTTTATTGTGGCTCAAATTTAAAGAGCTAGGGTTACGCAGGGTTTCCGAGGCGCCATTTTGGGAAGCATGTTTTTGAGCCACAGCCTGATCCTTGTACTCCTTGGGCAAAGTTGACGTGTTGTTTTGCCCGCTTAGATCGACGTGAACAAGCTGGAGCAGCAGTTCGAGAAGGTGCGGCGCTCGGTTGTTTAGGGGCGGAGATTGAGAGTGACGACTAGCGGTCAGAGCTACCTGGCAGTGGTGGTCAAAACCGTTTTGGGATCCCATTTTGGTTTGTAGGTGAATTCACCACCCATTGTAGAAGCTATTTTAGGTGTTCACTGGGGGTAAGGGATTTTGACCCATGGCCACATCCGTGAAGCTGCTTCATTGACGGGTCTGCTTGGTTGCTCTCAGGAGTTTGAAGAGCGGTGGAATGACAAGAGCATTCCCGGCTGGCAGACTCCCTCGCACAAGGCTGGACAGAACGGGCGGTTGTTGGAAGGGGTTGCGTGACGAGCGTTCACATGCTTCAAGGGTCTAAGAGCTCGGATTCCCTTTTTTGCCCACTTCTTCCTTTCCTATGTGGAGCTATGGGTAGCAAAAAAAAAACCCTACCGTTGCAGCAGAGCAGAGCAGCGCGCCTGAGTTTCCTGTGCAAGGAGGGCTTGTTCTGCCTGCCCTCCAGCAAGCTCTTCAACAATGAGTCCACCAAGAAGCATCACGAGCCGGCTCCTCAGCGACGCCGGGGGGCGGTCTGGAAACGACAGCAATCCAAATGGCATGCGGTCATTTCAGGAATGAAGCATGTTCCAAGGAACGGCAAGTTCTACAAGAAGAAGCTGGAAGAGATGTGCTCTCGGCTTTTGTTTGTTCTTTGTCGAGTCTGCGTGCCTGTGAATGAATCGAACGCCGAGCTTTGAGCAGAAGAACAGGCTCAAGCTGAACGGTTTAGGGTTTGGGGTTCTGGATGGGACCAGCATCTGATTAGCACCCTGCAGATCTGATTGAGTCTTTTGGAACCACTGCTGCACTTGTCAAGATCAACAGGGTGTGGCTTCAAACTGGGCTTACGGTTTTAGTCTTTGGCTCCATTTGCCGAGCCAGCTTGGGACACATTTTTTTGACGCCCGCCCAATTGCTGCCTGCTGAGCAGGGCCAGCCAATCAGATGTGGGTGTGGCTCAAAATTAAACAGGAGGGGCAAACCGCAGGTTTTGGTATCCATGTTTCCACTTGACCAGGGCAAGCCATTTTGGTACATTTGTTTCTTGAGCCGCAGAACCATTTGTCGCGAAGCCTTCGTCCCATACGTCGAATGCCTCGGCCTCTGCGACTCGCGGCTTTGGTGGCCGCAGCGCTTGGCGCTGCTTGGGTGGGGCCCAGCCGAGACCTCCGAGGCGGCTCGGGGCTCGGGGGGCCGTTGGCGTCAGTCGCTTGGGTCAAGCTGACCGCCAGGAATTGGACGGCGGGTAGGTCGTGGTTTGTTATTTTTTGTTTCCAGGGTTCCAGAGTGGGTACCGATCTGTGGGCACACCCACTTCAATGGTTTGCTAATTGCAGCAGGAGAAGTTTTAGGTCTAAAAGGCGTTGCCTAGCAAGATGTCAATCTTTTTGCCTGACTTGCGGTCACCAGTTCAGGATCTAAGGATGGTGTGTTCCGGCTAGCATGCACAGGCTTTCAGTCAGAGAACTCTCTGTTGAGCACCTGACGCCGGAGCTTCGAACATGTCCTTTTGCCAATCCTCACTTCTGTCAAGTCTGAGTGCTGCGCTTGACAAATGCACAGGCTGCATGTACGTGCTCTTGAATCATTTCAGCATAGTCATGTCGGTTGCCAGTGTGTATGATGTGAAGACTGATGTGTTTTTTGAGCAGATCGAGTCATAGGCGGCCAGCACTGTTCATGTGCTCGTGGGCCACGGATTGGTTGAGCTCTGCCTCATGGAAAGCATCCGTCGCTTCCTGCAGCCCGTGCAGGACCGGTGCCAAAGCTGGCGCGTGCTGCTGGCGAGTCGCAGGCGGGGTCACGGAGCTTTGCAGAGGGCAAGGCTTGCACAGCGAAAGGCTGCAAAGCTTTGCACATCTTTTACATGTTCACCTGGTGCTCTCACCTGCTTCTTTTAGGGAATGGGATGTATGCTCGCATATGTGCAGTCTTGTTGAGGCTTGTGCCTCCAATGTTGAGATTGGCTCAAGCGGGCAGTATTTTAAGTGCCATGGCACGTTGGGCCTTGCCAGGCTGTTGCTTGGTGTTGCTGAGCTGGCCCTGGGCTGCCTTTACGACCACCGCGAGCCAGCCGCGCCGCTTGGCTCGCTCCACGTGGCTGGGTCCGGCTGGTCCGGCCATGGCGTGCGTGGCCGACGGCCGGGCGGCTTCGTTCATTGCGGGGGCTGCGGTGTGTGCAGTTGCCTGCGTTGGGCTGCTGCGAGTGCGAAAGAAGCTCCGGTCAGCTCGTGCCGCTCAGAAGAAAGCGACGAGCCCTTCGGAGGACGAGCATGTCAAAGAGCTCCTGGTGGACACCGCCATCTTCATGACTTGCCAGATCCTGTTTCGAGTGACCAACTGCAGCAATGCTGCCACCTGTGCCATTTCGTGGGTGCTTCCCGCAGCACGCATTTTCTACATTGGCTTCAACGGCCTTTTGTTGGGCAGTATTTTCTACTTGTGCAGAAAGGCGCGCCAGGTAGATGGAGAAGAAGCTGCAAAGGATGTGGCAATTTTAGACAAGCGCCTGAAGAAGTTTGCTCTGAAAGCAATTGTTTTGTATGGTATTCACTGGTACTTCGGTCTCATGGCACCTTTGGTAGTTAGCTGCTTGATCACAGGCTACGGACTGCCATTCTTCAGAGACTACGATCATTCACTCTGGGCCAAGTACAGCGACCTGCGCTCTTGAGAGGTTCCTTTGCCCATGCGTGCGAGAAAAAAAGGTACAGCAAGGAATCCATGGGAGTGCCCTTTGCTCACAAGACTGTAATCCATGGTGTCCTGCCTTCGAGAGTCTTTGCTTGACATGTTTGCTTGCCCGCATCCCTGAGGCACTCTCACGGAATGACTTGCGCCACCGAGCGGCAAAGGGGGCGGGAATCGGGGTCAAATTTGAGCCAGGTGCACAAGGGGGAATCAGAGATGACTGTGCGTTGCCGGAGTGTGACGCACGAGTGGTGGTTGGAAAGAGATGGCTGTGGGTCAAAAAGCAGGTATGGGGCCCTGGTAAATGGAACCAAGGACTAAAACTTGTGGTTGCCTAGTGGTTTTGTTTTGACCCATACCCAGATGGCTGTCTCAATTCATGTTGCTCAGGCAAGCTGCTGATACGTGGCTGCACCTTAGCCTTCACGGCCGGGCTTTTTGTACCTCAGGCGGGACAGCTTGAGCAGCCTGCCGATGACAGCTCCAAGTATGAGTTAAAATTAAACCACCAGGGGACCGCTGGTTTTGGTCCTTGGGTTTCCATTACCAGGGTTCCATTTCTGGTACCCATTTTTGACCCACACCCAATTTTTAAAAATCTGCCCTTCCGTCCCTCTTGTCAGGTGCGGAAACTTGACAGCTACCAGTGGTACATCGCCCAGGCGCAGTGGCGCGGTGGCGCAGCGAGCTCTGGTTGCGGCTTTGCTTGCGGCACGCGCAGGTGGACCGCTTCAACCCGGACAACAAACCGACCTCTACAGAGGTGGCTGTGGGTCAAAACCAATGGTGCCATGTTGGTTGGTAGGTGAATTCACCACCCATTCTAGAAACCCTATTTGAGTGCTTGGATTGGGCCCCTGGTCCAAACCCATAGCCAGGTAGAGCTGATGGCCAAGGTCGGGGAGATGGCGAGGAAGGCGAGAGCATCGGAGACCGAGTTGCAATCTTTGAGCTCATATCACTCGCAGGGTGTCCTTGGGGTGTCGGAAATCAGACTCTCAGACCGCGTTTGGAGGTGAACACCCCCCCCTGGTTAACAAACGGGGGTTGATTAGTGCTGGTGATGGACAACATTTGGAGATATTTAAGACGCCCTGGAATGATTCGATTCCCTTGTGACCAACAAACAGTGGTTTCAACCATGGTTTCATTTCGGGGTTAGCATTATGTTCCAATCCGCGAGTCAGGTGGGTGGCCAGGCGCTGGATTTGGGCGGCGGCAGCGGCAACGACTTGCGCACCTTGCAGGTGCCGCAAATTCTCACGACGTGTTCGCCCAGCTTCTTACTGTGGATGGCTGCGAAATCCAAATGTCGCACCGCCTAAGAAATCCTGGAATGATGATTCCCCTGCACACACCAACAAACAATGGCTTCCCATGCTGGCAAAGTGGTGCAGGATTTCGTCCATCAACAGTACCAAGCCGCGGAAAATCACCTGCAAGCACCTTCCCTTTCTCTTGCTTGTTCTCTATCTCTTTCTCAATCTCTTCCTCCTCCTCTTCTTCTTTCTCTTCCTCGTTTTGTTGAGCTCTTAGTCCCCAAGCAGTGTGTATACACTAAGGGTTTCTTGCGGTAAGGGTAAAGGGCGAGCTCGATCCGGGTACACTCTAAGGGCGGCGCGCTTTGTCTGCGCAGGCTCGCACAAAAGTTCCCTTGTGCGATGTTCATGTGCACTTCAGCTGCCCAAGCTCGAATAAAGTGCGTGGACGAACTTGGTGTCTTCCATGGGTGTGGGAAATTGTGGACCGGTGCACCCTCTTCGGATTGGGTGTGTTGAATCGCTGTCGCTGCGGCGTGGCGCGCGCGTTGAACATCGAAAGTGAGCCCTCTGCGGACTTTGGGCGCGTTGAGTCGTAAATGCCGTCGCGCCGCATCTTGAGCATCGATCGTGAGCCCTTTACCACGTGCGAACTTTTGGCCCGATCCCTGTTGTCGCAAATGAACCCTCAGCGGGCTTTGGGTAAGTCGCCTGTCTCTGGCTGTGGCACGGTGCCGGTTGCAACATCGAAGCGTGGGCTTGCAAAGTGCTTTCTACAGATCCTGCGCAGAGAGCTGTAATTTATGAAAACCCTTTGTGGATGCTGCGTGCAGGGCAACCAAAAGAACTAACTCGTATGTGAAGGTCCACCATTTTGTCCACTTGCGTTTTGGCCCCAATGAGAAAACATGCCCAGTAGTGAAACCAATCCTGCAACAGGAGAAAAACAAAGTATTTTGAGCCACATGGAAGCTTGTGTAGGGCGCCGCTCTGCTTTTCAAAACTGTTGGGCGGGGGTCACTTTTGAGGATCGGCACCCTTCGGGGACCAGCAGTGGTTAAAATGTTTCCACACCCTACCCAGATATCTCCAAAGGCCCGCACAGATCCTGTAAAGATGCTCCCGCAGATATTATGCGCGGGTCATTCATAGAGATCCTCTCGAGAGGTCTTGCGCAAATCCTCCCAAGCATTCTGCACGCAAATCTTCCCAAAACATGTTACAGAGAGATCCCGTCCAGAGATCCTGCGTGCAGATCTTGCGCCAAGGTCCTCTAAGGAATCCCGCGCACGACTCTCGCCGCGAGACCCCATCAAAAGACCCTACTCAGTCGAGGTCTTGCGCAGGACGTGCAAAGATTTCCGTCTGAGAGATCCTATAGACGACGCTCTGTACAGCGAGTCCGTGCGTTGATAACCATACTGCGAGATGCAGTACGGTGCATTGTCATCGCATCGCAATGAAGCAGGTGTATTATTGCAGGGCTAAATATGGCAGAACCTCCTGAAAGCACTCACAGCTGTTTCAGGCATATTGCCTGACCATTCCATTTCGCATTTCAATCTTCAGTCTTCAAGAAGATAATCCCAGTGGCCTGGTGGCCAGTGTTGCTTGGTGCACTTCACGGGCATTGCGCATGATTTCAGCTTGAAAGCGCTGGGCAATTTCTTAATCTGAGCATCAACAATGGCCCGTGTGGCCAAGGTGCGGGAAAAAATCTGAACGGACAAACCAGCCTTGGCCTTGCAGGCGGCGCAGCCAGCAAGTGTGCTTGTGGTGGAGCCCAATCGCTTCACATGGCCGCAGGCGGAAACGCAGGCGATGGGACGAGTGGTCTGCACAGGTTTCTTCGTCGATTCCGCCAGGGCCGGGAGCTCGGCTTAGAGACGTCTTTCGCCGCAGATCTGACAGAGGCGCGTACTGCTTGGCTTTGTTCGCGTGTTTCGCCCTGGGCTTGGTGAATGAAAGCAGAGAAGCATTTCCAGAGGGACTTTGCTGAAAGGCGAGAGGGTCAATGTGTTGCAATGTGCTTGTTTGCAATGTGGCTATGAATTTTCAGAAGGAACCACCTTAAAAGTGGTTGGTTGGACATGAATCCCCAAATCCAATGATGTCCACCATTAATGGGTCCATTAAAGTTCAGGCCCATGTGGCCATGGTTCAAAACCATTGGGATCCCATTTATGGGATAGGTGAATTCACCACCCGCTCATTTAGGGGATTTATGTCTACCATTTCGAACGGGTCCCGTTTGCAGGCCATGGGTTCCTCTTTCGCCTTCGCCCCGTCGCAGGTGGGCTCGGCCAGCTGCGGGCTGCTGCTGACGCGGCGGGTGCTGTGCTCGGTGGATGACCAGCGGCGCACGCTGGAGGAGATCTTTCGGGTGCTGAAGCCAGGCGCTGAAAGGGGCGATGGGTTCAAAATTCAACCTGATGTGGCGATGGGTCAAGTTTACACTACCAGAAATGAGTATGGGTCAGAATACCACCAGGATATGGACCGCAGGGTTTTGGTCCTTGGTTTGCCATTTGCCAGGCTTCCATTTGGGGGTACGTATTTTTGAGCCACACCCAAATCGATTGGGTTCCAGTGAGCGGCTCAAATAGGGTCTCTAAAATGGGTGGATGCTACCCCAAAATGGGAACGCTTGGGGCTGAGTTTCGGAGCCTGGCGGAGCCCGAAGCGCGTGACAGGCAGAGATCGTGAGAGCACGGCCGAATGTGAAAGGGCAGACAGCTTCGGTTGTGCGAGAAAGAGATACATATATATATATATATATATAGAGAGAGAGAGGGTGAGCGAGAGCGAGACAGAGAGAGAGAGAGAGAGAGAGAGAAGGGGGAGGGGAGAAGAGGCTCGGGTACACCAATCTTCGTTCCAACTCTCCTTCCTCACGTACACTTTCACTCAGACACTCACACATCCTTCCTCTCCCATCTCCACCTGTGTGAGCGACAGAAGCGACATTTAGAGATAAGAGCTCGTGTCAAGCGACGTTTTCATAGCTGTGTCAGTCTCGGTGTGTGCACGCAGTCGCCGAGCCGGTGCGCCAAGCACATCTCTCCGCAGGCGGCGTCTTCGTCTTCATCGAGCACGTGGCCGCGGACACTGGATCCACTTTGCGCACAACGCAGGACACCTGATGGCGCAAGAAACATGTTGAAGCAGCGGCTGGCTCCTTTGCGAGTGAAGGATGGTACATGTTTGATAGGAGATTAATGATGAGTGTTTTCTTTCACAACTTGCTGAATATCAACTCTTGAGCCTTGTTTCCGCTCTATGTCCTCTTTGCAGGAGATCCTGCGTCCACTGCAGCAAGCTTTTGCCAACAACTGTGATCCGGCACGTGTCTGGTCTGCAGGCTGCGCCATTCGCGCCAAAACTGCAAAGATGTTTTCTTTCATTGGGGGGTCTCACTAGGATTCAAGAGTTGCCTCACTCAGTTAGACTTTCGCCACTGTTTGGGTTTGGACCATTTCGGTGGCAAACATCAAAAAAGACACAAGTTTAGGCACACTTTGGTGCCAACAAATCACCAAGTTTGGGAGCACTTTGGGCCATCCACTCCACTCCTTCCGCGAACGCGAAGCGCAAAAGACGTTCGTCGACGTCGAGCCGATCGAGGCGACACCGGCAGCGCCATCCGCGGCTTGCCCTGGGCCTCGCTGCAGCTGGAGGCCTACGACGAGGCCTTCAACGGCCCGCTGAGCCCGCGGGGAGTCCCGGAGTCCCGGCCACGCGCCGCGCGCCGAGCGGCGGGCGAGTCGCGCGCGGCGGTGTTCGGTGCTTCGTTTCTTCTTTTTGTTCTCCCGTTTTGTTTCTTCTTTATTCGGGGGCTGCGAGAGAGAGAGAGAGATGCAGGGAAGGAGAAATGCAGGGAAGGACCCCGATTTTCAAAAATAAGCTCTCCCACTTGTGGGCTTTTCCTTTCGGTTTTTCAGGGATTTTGCTGGCTTCGTTCCATTTCTCATAGCAAGCTTTTTGAGTGAGTGCGCGATCGAGGCACATCCGCGGATATGCAGTGAAAGCTGCTTGAGAGCAAATGCGCGAGCTTGCTGCAGTGCTCTGGAGTTCTACATCAAACCGTGGCTTATGTGCTGAAGTCTTTGGTTTTCATGAGGTTCTTAAGGGGGGGATGTTTCTTATGTGCCTCCCCTTACACCCCCCTCCCTTAAGAACCCCAGAATGTTTGCAAAGGTCTTTGCTACACGGAAATGAGGGCAGGCCTAGATCCGCATCTGGTCCATGCCAGGCAAAAGATGAGCTTCGAGGACCAGAACAAGCTGGCGGACCAAACAGAGGAGGAGGAGAAATGCTTGGCGCCGTGCGTGAAAACACGAAGCCGCTATCAAGGTATAAGCGTGCGCTATGGTGCTTGGCTTGTGACATTGCTTTTGGAATAACTCAGACAAAGACTTGCGGCTGCAGCGGCAACAATACTTCCAAAGATGTTTTGTTTGACCTGGCTGTGAATTTTAATGGGGAACCCCTTGAAAAGTTGATGGTGGACATAAATCCCCACCTGAATGACGTCCACCAAAGGGCCCCTAAGTAAGAATCATACCCACCTGGAGAGGACAAGCGCATTGCTCGGCTGGAAAGCCGTGCGGCCAAATGGCACGACTTGCTGAGCGATGCGATCAATGAGTCGGCTTCCCGGTTCGCACGCACACAGCCTGATGATTGAGGCCTTTTGTGATGTTGTCAACTTCTTTCGAGTTAATTCACCAATATCTTGCACCAGAATGCACTTCTTTACAAACACACTACACACATACAAGACTATTTTTACACTTCAGCTTCCCTTATGTCATAATCGTTGGTCCCTGGATGTTGATTTAGCACGAATGCAGTGTGTGGACACCCTCAGTCAAGATTGAATTATTGTAGGACAAACTTGCAGAGGCCTGGGGATGGTGTAGCCTGGCAAATCAAGACGTGATCCGTTGCGACGGTCATGTTGACACAGAAAGGCCTCTTCGAGCACATTTTTGGTTAATACATGACAGGGATGACGAGTTACTCTTTGCACATGTGAGGACAGTCGCGCACCTGCAGAAGAAGCAGAGTCAGACCGTGGAGGCATCGTTGTGGGCTCGTGATGGTCCGACGGTTGTGACTAAAGTTAGCTTGTTGCACCCTCAGCGCGGAGTTTGGTGGGTCAAGTTGTGCCACTGCTCACCTGACCGTTAAAGATATGGCCAAGGGTCAAAACCCAAATCGTACCCCCAGTGAACGGGACCCAATCCAACCACTACAATAGGTTCTAAAATGGGTGCTGAATTCACCTATCCCAAAATGGGATCCCGTTTAACGGTTTGACCCATGGCCGATGTTACCTCAAGGTGGTTTTCCCTTTTGCCATTGAGGAGATGGAGGCCGAGAAGGAGGAGTCTGATGACGACGAGGAGATGGAAGACGACGGCGCCGACGTTTCGGCCTCGGAGCGGATGCTCGATTGGCTGAAGCGCCATAAGTTGTTTGGAACGTGACGGTTGGGGGGTCCTATGGACTATTTTCCTTTTAAAGGGACCCCCCTGTCAGGTTTTATGTGAATTGGTGGGAGGGTAACGCGTGCGGCAAGTTTGGGCGAAGTCATCCTTCAATGCACAGTAATGGCTAGGCAATGTGCGACTTGTTTGAAGCTATCGCGCGCTGAGATGGGCTCCAACCACGGTGATGATGAGGACATGGTCTTTGTTTGACATTTGCATGAGCAAACTATTTGTACTTGCAGGTCGGTTGCGCGTCGGCCGCTGACGAACCTCAAAGCGATCGTACATGGAATCCAATCTTCCCATGCAATCATGCAGGAGCGGCCCATCTACAACCCATTGAACCTTCCGCTAGGCTGGTTCTCCAGTTGTGCCAGGAGCAGAGACTGTAGACATGTTTGACTGAACCTCAGCATGTGAGGGCAAATGCTGGGGATGGACGAACTCCATTTCGCACCACCTAAGGAACCAGCTGGAAGGATCATTCCCCTGTAGATGCGAACGGTTTTTGTGCGAATGGTTTCCCATGGTTTCTCATGGTTTCAAGGTGGTGCGAACGGATTTCGTCCACCCACAGTATTGCCGCACTCTGGCTTAGAGGGATGAGCTGCTGCGATGTAGGTTGGGATGGCAAGCCCATCCCATTTTGGCTCTACAAGCTGCATGGAATGGGTCTCCTGCTTAGCCGGGGAGCTGCTTCGACGAAGTCGGAGCTCGTAGCGGTTGGTGACCAGCATCGTTTGTCGCGGATGGCAGAGCATCATGTATGTGGGCTCTCTTGCCCACCTCTTTTGTCTGGAACTGCATCGAATTTGGCATTTGAGGCATCGAGTATAAGTGCGAGATCTGCCAGGATCCTAATTTCTGGCTTTGGGTCTGGAGTGCTTGGGAGTGCTTGGACAAGTTGAAAGAGTTGAAGGCGTCTTTCTGGCGCTTGGCACGAGTTTTGATTTTCCAAGACAACCCCCATGAGCTCAGGTGGGAACTACTCCTACTGGGGTCGAAGAGCCTTCGAGAGGCACTTCCAGGACCAGAAAATCAGATTTCATGGCCCGTCATGATTTTCAGGTTCACCCGACCTCCTTCAAATGTTGCACAGCTTGCCGCAATCACATTTTTTGCATTTGTTTTCATTTGACAACTCGAAGACTTGATGCAAAGCCATACAGGAGTGGAGACATGCCTTTGGCATGCGCTGTCTGAAGATTCCCAACACAGCGCACTTTAAAGAGATCACGAAGATCGAGGACCGACAGGTTGCAGGAAGCCAGGAAGCCAGGAAGCCAGGAAGCGTTGCGGGAAGCGCTACCAAATATCTCATGGTCGGTGCTGGAAGACATGGCTGTGGTGGTCAAAACCGTTAAACGGGATCCCATTTTCGTTGGTAGGTGAATTCACCACCATGTTAGAGCCTGTTTTAGTGGTTGGATTGGGTCCCGTTCACTGGAGCTTCGATTTGGCTTCTGACCCGAAATATCTCCTGGTGTCCAGCCGCCGATTTTCGGCTCCAAAAAATGGGTGGTGGATTCACCCGACCAAAATGTGATTCCGTTTCGCGGTTTTGGCCACCGCCTTCCCATGGGGCGCTGTCTGGACGTCGCCTGGCAGGAAGCCATCACGCTCTACGAGAAGCTGAAGCGCGATGCGGAGGAGCAGACCTTCCGGCCGGACCAGGCGCGCGCCGAGACCAAGCAAGGAAGTGGGTATGGGTCAAAATTTTTGGCCACCAGGGACAACCCCAGGTTTGACTTCTGGGTTCCATTTTGGGTATCCATTTTGGGTGCCCATGTTTGACCCACAGCCATACATATGTCAGTCTAGGAATGTGTTATTTGCATGTTTTGTTGCGCCATACACGATCCTGCAAGCAAGTGATACCTGCACGCCGGATTCTGACCCCCTCACTGTGCCACCGATCAGGATGTTGAGTGCGAGGACATCCAGGGAAACGTCATGAGCCAGAAGGCCTTTGAGGAGCGATGCGAAAAGCTTTCGCATGCGACGTGCATGCCCTCGGCCAGTCATGTGTCGTTGTAGACGATGAGGTCAGACTGTGCTGGCATTTGAACATCCGCAGTAGTCAGCGATTTGGGCCACATTGTCCTTTGGCCGTGATATCCGTGACATTCATGTTGGTCAGTACTTTCTTGCTGTATTTGGCACTGCCGGCAGACTACAGAAGCAACAACGCACAACCACAACGCACAGACACACAGACGCACAGACGCACAGGCACACAGCCACACAGACACACACACACACACACCTATCACATAGACACACAGACACACAGACCGACAGACACGCGCACACGCACAGACACGCACATTCACAGACACAGAGACACAGAGACACAGAGACACAGAGACACAGAGACACAGAGACACAGAGACACAGAGACACAGAGACACAGAGACACAGAGACACAGAGACACAGAGACACAGAGACACAGAGACACAGAGACACAGAGACACAGAGACACAGAGACACAGAGACACAGAGACACAGAGACACAGAGACACAGAGACACAGAGACACAGAGACACAGAGACACAGAGACACAGAGACACAGAGACACAGAGACACAGAGACATACGGACACCAAGCCAATCAATATGCATCCAGACACAGGGATAAATAGAGCACAGAGATGCTGTGTCACAGAGACACCTGGACAAAGACAGACACGCAAGCACGTGCGCACACAGAGACGTGCATGCCTGCACATGCACGCAACGCGCAGGCCTGCACACAAGCCTGCACAAGCATGCGTGCCCACATGCTCATGCCCCGTTGGTATGTGATTGCACACGGGCAGGCACACGCAGCAATATCCTTACGCGTGCGTGGTCTTGCTTTCATGTGGATTTTGCTGACGCACAATTGTGCTTGTGTGAGCTCTCGGATTGTTTTGGCCACGAAACAAATTAGCTCCTACATCGTTTAAGACTTGCGCACCCATGCACACCACCTACGCACACACACACACACACATCCAACATCATCTTCCACACCAGGCGATCGGGTTGCGCTTGCCAGTGATCAGATTGCAAGCATTGGTGATCCAATGGCAAAACTGACTACAATCCTTCACAAGCGAGCGATGACAATGAGCCACAATTTGACACCCAACATCTACCAGGATGAAACCGGTCTCAGTGTTCACACGCACTCAGCTGGTGTGTGTGTGTGTGTGTGTATGCATATCCCGCGGCTTCCAAACGATGATATCATGCTTGCAGGACCTGAGGCGGCAGGGTCTGGTTTGAGGTCGGCAGCTCGGGGATTGAAAGTCATTGCATGGTTGAAAACAGGCTGGTGCATAGCAAGTGAACATTGGCAGCTACAGTTTAAGCAATTTCCTCATTGGACACTTGGCTGGGAAACATGCGCAGAGTTATCGCTTTCGCAAGGTGCCAACGACCAGTCGCCAATGCAGTGCTTACGACGGGTCGCCAATGCACGAGCTGCATCTCAGCTTGTTCAACTCGTGCTGCCTTGGGCACACGAAAGGACCAATACCCATGGGGGTGTCCTCTGTATCTCTGGGCTATCACCCAGGAGTTTGGCTGCGGTGGCAGGAAAAGAGCCACATGTCACGCAGCTAACGTTGAAGAGGTTGTGCAAACACATGGGTATGGGTCAACTTGAGCCACCAGAAAACCTCATATTTTGGTCATGTTTGTCCTTGTCCATTTTGGGTACCAATTTCTGACCCACACCCACATTGCATTCAAGAGGAAGCAATCCCTGCAGTTGCAGACTGACGGCAGCGAGAAGCAAGGGTGGCTACAGCCCAGCCTCCCCATTCAGCCTCGTGTCAGCACGGGCTCAAGGTGCATCAAAACATTGACAGATATCGAAATAGATTGAAAGATATTGAAAGAGGTGGATTTCGCAGACAGGCTGATGGATTCCTGGCGCTTGCAATGTCACCGCATGCCTCAAACAGCAAGAGCAGCATTTTGTTAAAGAAGAGGCATGTGTGCTAGCTTTGCTGAGCTTACTAAGACACCGGCCGAAGCATGCGCAGATAGCTTACCGCCGTAGCACTTCATGTGCAATGCCGACAGTGTGATTGGCAATGGCGGCGCCTGGCACTCATTCCCAGCTCCACCTCCAGTCTCCCTCATTGAAGGAGGTGTCAAGGTCTTGTCTCTGCATTTCAATAGCACCCTGACTTACGAACAGATATCGAACTGACATACTTGTGTGCTTACAGTACATTGCAGTGGACGGCAGGAACAGAGACTTCTTTTGGTATCGAAGGTCAAAGGCATGCTTTTTCAGAGTTAGGCAGTCAAGATCCACCATATTACCTTGAGAGGACAATTGGAGACGGCCACTGGCGGACCAAGGCCTAGGGGAGAAGTTCACATTGGGCGCTTGAATGGTCAGAGTCCATTCGTGAAACTTGGATGTCATAGGGTTAAGTACCGTTTGCAGTTGCCTTACATGCATACTCGGTCGTGCCTCGGTACCTCGAATCTTCGGGGCCATTTTGGCTCAAGTGTTGGCTTGATCCTGGGTTACTGACCTCGGTTTTCTGGTGTTTTGTTTGCCCCGCGGATGTGGACATGGAGCCGAAGGCGACAGAGCTAAGGAAACCGGGTCAGGGACGGCTGCCACGAGCGTTGAATCCCCCCGCAAAACTCTAGCACTGCCGCTCAGCCTCCTGCTCGCCAAGCAGCTGATGCCGTTGGAATCAGACAAGACCCTTTGTGGATGAGTGGCACTATGGGCGGAAGTGTGGCCCCACCACAGCGGCCTGGCGTGGAACGAGTTTCAAAGAACTGGAGGACAAGCTTCACCCAGATGGTGCAGAGATGGGGATCATCGACCTGTTCACCACGTAGATGGTATGCCTTCCGCAAGGAGGAGAGAGTGCTGACCAGGTCCAGAGATGGGAGGAGACAACAACGATGCCTTGGTGGACAACTTGAAGAAGTTGGCATCAGAAGGCCTCCTTTGAACATCGCGCCTTGCTGCGACCAGGTATGCGTTACGCTCGGAGAATGACCCGGGGAGGAAGGGGTCCGGACATGGCCAACATCCATGCGACCATGGAAAATACCCAGGAGACCTGCGTTGGTTAATCTGGGGGTGAACACTGACAATTTCCGGGACACCATCATCGCCATAACGGTCGTCAACTTGTACACGTCGCTTGCCTCTTGGTGCCGCAAGGATGCGGAGGCGTCAAAACCCCACGGCGTCTGCTCAAGATCCGAAGCAAGATCTATGCCATGGCCACAATTGATTCGAAGGCCATGCTGGCGATTGGGAATCTTTGGACCCTTCGGCCTGGCAATTTCATGATACCCCTAATGGACCCGCCTTTGAGGACACCAAAGAGGCCCTCATCCACGTGACCCAAGTAAAGTCCAAGCCGCATCCTTATTCCGCTGAGGGCCGGCAGAAAGGCCGATCCAGATGGAATCTGGGTTCGCTGCGCTGCCTGCCCTCAGTTTTGGAATGTTTCTTGCCACTCACGCGGTTCTTGGGAAAAGTGTCCTCCTGCTTTTGCACATCAGGCTGCGCTGTGACTTTGATACCATCTTTTATCTTTCTTCGTGCTGGATGGGGGCACGCTCACGCTTGCCATGAGGCCTATTTCGGCGCCTGCTGGGGCCTGAAAAGCGATATGCTGCATAAAAAGGGTCTTGCCGTGCATGCCAGCACGACAAGCCAGAAGCGCACGCCCCAACGTGCGCAAGAGCAATGTCTCAGGGTTGCACAGCGAAGCGTCCAGACTTTTTCAATCCCGGCTTTGCCCGAGTTGCCATTGAAAGGGCGTACGCTTTAGTAGTGGAAGAAGAACAAGAAGAAAACAAGACTAAGAAGGCAAAGAAGAAGAAAAGAAGAAGAAGAGGAAGAAGAGGAAGAAGAGGAAGAAGAGGAAGAAGAGGAAGAAGAGGAAGAAGAAGAAGAAGAAGAAGAAAAACAGAAAGAAGAGGAAGAAGAAGTGGGTGTTTACATTTGTGCCGAGCCGGCGCCCCTTGCTGTTGCTGATCAACTATCAGGCAGAGCCAGTGGCCCGCGTGGGGCTGGACCTAAACCAAGATGGCCAGAGCCCCAAGTCGCCTGTGGCGCGAGTGGTATGAACCATGTAGATTTGCTGGGCATTTGTTTCAGCCCTGCGCATGGGCAAAACCTTGAACCAGGGCAACAAAAAGACCCCAGCTGCAACCAGGTCAAAAAAAGATCTCGGACCTTACGTCAGTGTTGCACTTATACAGCTATGTGCTAGCCAGACGGAATTTGCGGAGGCCAGCCAGATGTCATCGTTCAGGGCGTGGATCGGAATCATGATGGCATCCCGGACGTGCTGCAGCAGGATAGGATCGATCGGGCTTCATGGACAAAGCGTCAGTTCAGTTCTAGCGATCCCTTGAGTCACCTGGCTGTTGGTGGCCACAATTTCGGTTGAATGTGCCAGAGTTGCCCCCGTTCTAGTGATAGACCGTGCTCGCAAAAGTGGTGAAGGCTCCGACATGCCAATGCGGCAACATTTTTGCAGCAGAGCCTTGACTGCATCGCCTGGCGGGCTTGCTTTGCGTGCTCCGAGCTTGAGGATCTGCAAGCTTTTACTTGCAGTCTGTTCTCGTGGAGCGGACGGAATGTTTCTGACACTGCCCTAAGAACCAGCTCAGCAGCCCAGGATGCGCGCTTCTGTCGGCGCTGCGGCGCCAGAAGACCTTTGCCGCAGGCGCAGCCTGAAACCATACGGAGGATGGTAAAGCGAAATCCGCAAACCGCACCACGAAATGAAACCATGGGAACCACTGTCTCAGGTCGCGCAGGATTTGTTGGTATTTACAAGGGAATCATCATTCCAGGGTGTCTTAGGTGGTGAAGGATTTTGTCGATCCACAGTAAGAAGCTAGGCGAACACCCTCCGTTTGCACAGCTGACTTTTTGCAGACACGAACAATTCCTAGGCCTTAGGCTGGATGCTTGGATGGTCTTGCCGCGGCCCGCAGGCAATGCAGCCAATGAGCCCACAGGCTGTTATTCCGTGGGTGCGGCGCGGTTGAGCAGATACTGCCACCATTTCAGATTTCACCTCATTGGATTTTCTCTGCTATACCAACAGAACTCCCTTGCTGAATGTACCTTCTCAAGAAGGTTGCGCATTGACACTTCCAGGGCCAAGATGCCAAGAAGTTCTCGTGCTTCGTATGCTGGGGCATAGCCTGAGGATATGCGACGGTTGCCTTCCGCTTTTGTGCCAATCTTTGCCAGCGGCTGCTTGGAGTTGGAAGCTGCAGGTTCATGCGCAGCGTCCATGCACAGCGCAGGCGTGCCGAGAGGGCAGAGCATAGGGGCACTCCACAATGTGCCGTTGGCCTTGTGTATGGCAGGATCGAGTTTGTGCAGTCCGAAGCCTGTGCTAACGCAGTGAGTCAGACAAGCCAGTGGTGTTGTTAAGGCATTCCAGGTTTTGCTGCGCATGGTCGTGCACTTTGCGCAGATGACATGCACTTTACACCACACACACACGATATTGCCATGCAGGCAACTACACGCAATTGTACAAATCCACACGTGCATCACACGCCTTCGGCATTCTTCCGACAAATAATTCTAATGCTAGTCAACACTCGGAAAGTTGCATGGACATACACAATCGCACTCATGCATTTACAGAGGGTTCAGCATTTGGGCTGTTGCAAGCTACTAAGTGTAGAACCTCCTAGCGAGTTTAGCATTCATGATTTTGGCCCATTGCTCGAGCCCAACTACGAATCACCAACTACCACAAGCAAAATGCAACACAGCAAGTGACACACGAAAAGTGACAAGCAACATGCAACAAGCAGCAAAGAACAACTGGAAAGCGACACGCAACAAAACGTCCATAGCGAGGAACAAGTATGCAACCACTAACAGAAGCTGCAATTCATTTGCAGCAACAGAAGCGTTTTCCTCACACCAGGCCAACATTCTAGGACTGACAGCAAAGCAACCCAGCAATCAACACCAGCACCGACACCAACGCCAACGCCGATGTCAACGCCGGCCCGCTCATGTACCTCATGTGCGCCTCTCATCGACACCCCCACAAGTGTTCCTTGCAGTTTGGCGTTGCCACTCCGTTGACGACGCGGCCGTGTATGCAGGCGGGCCCCGATGCCATTAATTGGGACTTGCTGCAGCATGACAGGCTCTTGAAGCAATGCCAGGGCTGCGAAAGGAATTTGAGAATTGGACCGCTGCAGTGAGCAAAGGCAAACAAAGGGGGCGGTTGGTCAATTTTCAATAAACAGCAGGCCAATTGCAACAAATAACAAATTCCCTTGTCTCGCTGGTTATTTGCTATTTTTGATGAACACTGTTGTCAAAAAGGCAAGGACTCTTTCCCAGGTGCCGCAGCAACCTGTAGGCTACACCCAGGTGGGGCTGGCTTGCATTCCTCACCAGATTGCAGCAGGTTTCAGAAGTCCGCATAGTGAACTTGCTTGCGTGGGTGCTGTGGATGTTTTTTGTCGACGTGTCGTGTTCAATGTAACTTCTGCTAGCTCCATGATGTGTCACATCTTTTGACATAGGCAATGCACAGCGCTCCTGCCGTTACTCTGTCGCCCGAGAACTCAGCTAAGATGGAGCAGAATCTGAGGCAAATCTGTGTGAGTTCTGTGGACGCTGCTTGACAGAGCTTCAAAGGTGCAACAGAAGCCAGTGTCCCCCAGCGAAATTTGCGTTGCTCACTCTACTCTCATGCGGAGTTCTTGCGCCTGCCTTCCACTTACAACACACAGACAAAAGACAAAGTCCTGAGGGACGGGACCAGACTTGCCCCGACTGGACCTTTTGTCTGGGGTGTTCTTTTTGTTTGTTTTGTTGAATCACAACATATGATATAGTTTATTATTTATCCTCCCAGATCCCTCAGTGCATTTCCACACTGCGCAAAAGGCTGCAGACTTGTGCTAAAATCAATTCTCGATCCTTCAGACAATGTCCAACTCAGGCATTGATTATGGGCAAGTTTGTAAGTTTTCGTGGTCCAGTCGTTTTGCAATGCACAGCACCTTCCTAACATGTACACTATGTCAAGCATATGTTGAGTAATTTATGGCTTGCGTCATATGTCTACCAAGACTTGCGGGTACTGTATGTCTAGACATCATTCACCACATGTCCAGTATATTTCGAGAAGTCCGATGTGTCAAGTGCATTCCTATATAGTTGTGTGGCTTTCCTATCTGGTTTCTAGTATGTGGCGTTTTTCAGCACAGACTTGACATACTCCTACAATACTTTCTTGCCACACGTATCACAGATTCCGGGCGTTTTCTCCACTACAAGACATCGCAAAACCCTTGTTCAGGTGAAATGCAGGGCTGGGCACATTGGCCTCTCAAGAAAGCAGTCGCAGCACGCAGCGTTGCTTTCGGCATGATTCTGACACCAGAAGCCAAACTCCTGCAGCACGCTGCCAGCGATTCGGCACACGCATCTCCAGCACTTGAGGCCGGCGCCGGCGCCGGCGCTGAGGGCGGCTTCCTCTGTGATTCGCTGGTGGCTTGATGGTGAGCATCCATGTGCTGAGGTGGTGCAGCCTGTCATCCAGGAGGTGGTTAGAGAGGCGAGGGCGCCTGGGATTTACAGGCGATTGCATGGCAATGTACCCTTTGAATCTTCAGAACTCCACCCCTTCAGGTGTGCAGTGTGCAAAGCCTTGACCAGCAACCCATGAGCTGCGGACCAGGTCTTCGCATGATATTCGTTTGGCTCAGCTTCAACAGAGCGCCGGTTTCAAGCGGCCCTGCGCGCAAAACGGCTCTGTGCGAAGCGTCATCATGAGGTTGCGGTGCACAAGAAAGAGCTGCACACAATCTTCAGGGAGAGGCCTCAGGCACAATGGTGCTTGCAGCATCAAAGGCAGCCATCTTGCCAAAAGCGAATCGGTCTTCAAGCCTGCATGCAGCTTGTCGCTTTTAAGCTGCGGGTTCATGCCCTGCACCGGAAGTAATCACATGAGCTGCTTGGCAGTCTTTCCACAGCGACTTGGATTCTTTGTGGGAGGTGGAATTCGTGGAGAGGTCCGTAGAAGTGCCCAAGGCGCCTTGGCAGCCGGTTGGGTGCAGGATGTTGAGTCCCCATTTGCTGGAAATTCATGACGTGCCTTTGTTTGTTTCCCATTGACATTGCGACATCTCTGTTCATTGGAATGACTGTGAAGGGCATAGGGACCGCGCAGACAACAAGCACCAGCTCCCATTGGCAGCGAAGATATTTGAGACGGTGAGCAAATCCAATTTAGCACAGCACGGAAGCCGCTGAGCAACATGAATACGGAAGTTGCAGCCGGGCTCGGAGACCAATCAAAACAGTGCACTCATTGAACTAGGGAACCCCCGGCAGATCAGACACTTTTAAGAGTCGAGACAGTTTTGATTGCCGATTTTTTTTGAAAGCATGGATTTTCAGCCGGGGGCACCAAAGCCTCAACCGTGCAGCTAGACGTGCTTGTTTGTCCATCTCCACTTCAGGCAGGGCGGCCCGGGTAGGGTGAGTCAAGCCTTGAGCGCTGTGCACCGGTAGAGAGTAAGGGCTGGATCCCATTTCTTCGGTGCTTCGGCAAGATCAAATTCTCAGCCTCGGAATACACCGAGCCAGACACTGAGGTTGAGCTGCAGGAGAAATTTGTGGAGGTGCCTCACGTGCTTCTTCATGAGTCCGGGCCACAGCTTTGCTTTTAGCTCTGCGCTACTTGCTGGTGCGAGAGATGCAGGGAATTAGAAATGGAATGACCCCTATAAATGTAAACCCTCCAGCTGGTGGTTTCCTTTGGGGGGACCAACGCCTGGGTTCATTTTATGTCTCCTTCTCTTCCAATCGCACCAGCAAGACTACTAACACCACAAGCCGCGGCGCTTCCTGGTTCGACCGTCACAAGCTGCGGGCTGCCGTTCGGCCAAGGCGCATCATGGAGGTCCCGGAGGTCTTCGAAGACGAGCTGGCCGGCCGTCTAGAAATGTACGGATTGGACAGGTGCACTGGACACGCAGGGCTTGCGTTCGCAAAGTCGGGCTTGTTGACCATGTCGAGCACATTTTTGACACAAAAGGCTCCAGGAAAGAGAGCAGGCGCCGCTTTTCGGCGCCAGGTGAAGCAAGTGCCCCGCCTGGAGTACTTGGAGGCGCGTTTTGGGTTTGTGAGTGGCAGCTGTCGGTTGTACTCGCAATTCATGGCGCCCTGGCTTGTGCCAGTGCGGCCCAAATGCAAAGAAAACGAGTAATGGTGTTGCAAGGGGTTTCCGGTGTCAAGCTTGGGTTTCTTTTGTTGTCTCCACCCATGTGGGGATAGACAGACTGTGGATGGACAAAATCCTGCACCACCACCTAAGAAACCATGGTGGAAACCATTGTTTGCTGGTATTTACAGGGGAATCGCATTCGAAACCAGGGTCTCTGAACGGTGGTGGTGCCTGAGATGGTTTTCACAACCATCAGCATGCCCATGACCTATGACCTGTTTTTTCCCTTCACAAATCACTATGAGGCCCATTCCCATGACCAGCCGTAGCTTTTTTCTTTTTCTTTTCCCCACTCCGCGGCACAAAAGTCTTCGCCCGGAAAGCGGCTGCCGCGGATCCCCCCGGATCCGCGCGCATCGGATCCACGGCGGAGAGGTGGAGAAGCTCATCGAGCTGCCGCTCTTCGAGGCGCGGGAGCAGCTCCTGGAGGTGCCCAGCCTGCTGGAGCAGGAGATCCATCCCAGCTAAATCTGGTCGAGAATGGTTGGTGAAATGGAGACCTGGGTAAACATGGGTAAAACGGGGTCAATTGAAAATAGGGTCGATAGGGTCCTTTTGGACACCTTGGTACATGGACACATGGACGACCTGCGGTCCCCTCGTGGTTTCAGTTTTGACCCACACCCAGCTCGCTTCGATCTCGATCTCGATCTCCCGGCGATCGCGGCTTCGGGCTTGGATCGAAGTGGATCTTTGGGGAGCGCACCGTGGTCTCGATTTTAGCGCGCTCTTTTTCGTTCCCCCTTTTTTTTCTTCTCCAGGTTCGGCACCTGGGTATGGATCAACCCCCACATGAGAGCATGTAGGAACACCTATCAGGCTAGGGGCTCAAGGAAACTGGGCTTTCTTAGCGAATTGCCACGAGTTTTGAGCAGTCTTCAAAGAGACGCACCAATGTGGCCGCAGCTGCGTTGGCTGCTGCGAGTCATTTTGCCAGCTTGAAGGGGTCGCTGAAGGTGTGGATTGTTTGTCATTTCAGATGTGGCTACTGCAAAAACACTGGGAATGAGTGTAGACATGCATTTGACATGTGCAGGCTGTGTCTAGTATGTGAGGCAACAAGCTACTTGTTTTCAAGGAAGGAAGAGGATGTCAACGAAGAACGTCTGCTTGCAGAACTGCCAGACTGCCCCTGATCAATCAATAGCCCCAGGGCCATCCGCAAAGCGCTCGCTTTCAATGGGCAACGTGGCCTGCCGGTGCTTGGCGCTGTAGCTAAGCCCAGGCCCTATACAAGCATCATGTGCTTAGAGTACTTGTTTAGACATTCACAGAGACGCCTTGTGACATTCGGGAAAAAGGACATGGACTTCTCTCTCTTCCCAAAAGCCAGCGTTGGCATTTTGGGGATATTCTCTCTGTTCCCAACAAAACTAATTGTAAACGCTTCGCGTTGCCCGGCTCGGCCAGTCCGCTCTCGGCTGGCTTTGAGGTATATACCGTGCTTCAGTTTGCCTTGAAGTGATGTTATTAAAGTGAGTGAGTCGGCGCCGAAATGGGTGAGCTGGTTTCCAAGCTAGCGGGTGGGCGCATGTCTGCACGATTCCACCTGGCTTCAAGGGCCAGACCGAGAGCCGCAGAGAGCTGCAGAATGGTGGGCCAAGCGCAGGGATTTTGGCCGCGCGACATGGGGTCGGGGGGGGGGGGGGGGGTTGGACAGACCAATTTTGGAAAGAGGTTCTGCAGAAGGTCTGACCGCTTCTCGCCCTGGGGGCCGAGGCGAAAATCAGTTCCTTGGCGTTTGTGTGTTGGGATGTTCTCGTTGCCAGTGTTTGGGACGGGAAGTTGGGGCAGCGCAGGCACTTGCTAGCTCCAACCCTGCCGGGCACAAGCGACCTTCCATCCCCAGCGTGAGCCACAATCAAAACCCGGGTAGATGAAGCTTTGTAAGGGGACGCGGTTCCGGGATTACGACCATTCTAATACCAGGTTTTGATTGTCAGGTGGACGCTTGTAGAGTGAATCGGGTGGCCGTTTCGACCAGGGGACGCGACGCGCGGGGCATCCGACGCGTCCTCCTCGCCGGTCGCCGTCCGCGGCGAGCGAGGAGTGTTTGGTGGAGATTCCCCAGCTCCGCTGCATCGAGCTCATCCGGGAGGTGCCCAAAGAGGCCATGCGGAACGCGAATGGGAGACGGTGTAGGTATATGATACATATATATATATATATACATATGTTAATGCATGTATGTAATGTAACGTAACGCAATGCAATGTCAGGTAATGTATGTATGTGTTAATATATATATATATATACATATATATATATATATGTATATTGAACGCACTGAACGGCAAACACATGCTGAGCAACCCAGATGTCAGGAGTGAAGAGTCCGGACATGTCAGTGGACAGCAAGAAGCTGCATTGCAGGTGGTAAAGACCGTTCAGAAGATGGTCGAGCGGCCCGTGGTGCAGGTTGGGCCGCCTCCAAAGCACAGTCTGGGCGGAATTCTTGGCAAGTAGCTTCCAAACCGGACCCGAATTGAAAAAACAACGTTGCTTGCCCCGCACGTTTTCCGGCCACAACTGAGCCACTTGCTCAAAACCCGGGTAGATGAAGGATGGCAAGGGACAATCCCAGCCAGAAATAGCTGCGCCCGCCTTCTTGATTCTTGAAGCATGGTTCTGGGCCTTTTGATACGGGGGATTTGATTGTGACTCAACTGTTCGCTGGAGCCACTCCTCAGGGAAACCAACTTGCAGGGGTACAGGGGCAACCAGAGATACGTGAGGATTCCCCTAAAGGCGCCTTGACTAAGTTTGAATGCACCTTGACTAAGTTTGATATGGCTGTGGGTCAAAACCAATGGTACCACTTTGGGGTAGGTGACTACTTTAGCGGTTGGATTGGGATGTTCACCAGGGGTGGTTTTGACCCATGGCCGCCAAGTTGGAATCCCATCTCCTTCCATCAAGTTCCTGGCAGGTGGTGGAGCGGCAGGTGGAGGTGCCTTTGACCACCGTGCAGGAGGAGCTGGTGGCGGTGCCGGTGGTGGAGCAGGCAGAAGCCCCAACTGGCTGTCAAAAATAGGTACGCCAAATGGAACCCTAGCAAGTGGAAACATGGACCAAAACCTGCGGTGGTCAAAAACTATCAGGGGATTGCCAGGGTTTCAGTCCAGGTGACCATTTGCCAGGGTTCCCAAGATGGGGTGACCCTGTATTTGACAACCGCAGCCAAATCAACAAAGTGCAGTTGTGCATTTTTGCGCCTTGCCCGCAAAACATTGTTGTTCATGAACAAATCAACTGTGCATTTGTGCATGTGTGCATTGCAAGGGAAACATATTGTGATTCATGCAGCTCCTCTTGCTGACTGTGGACTTGTCTCGAACAACTCACCCGGTGCCATCGACCCGTCGACCCCCCAAATTCGCTTAGGTGGACGTCATCAAGCAGGTGCCCGTCTACGAGCTCCAGCAGGCACGCGCGTAAATCTCTTCAGAGAGCACCTCAGAGGGTTTCGGGGGCAAAACAGAAATTTGGGCGTGGCTCAAGATGGGCACGGGTCAAAATTGAACCACAGGGGACCGCAGTTTTAGTCCTTGCCTCCATTTATGTTCCACTTTGGGTACCTATTTTGACCCACACCCAGATTAGATTTTGCTGGGGTTACGCAGGTTTTCGTCTTTGGTTCCGCTTACCAAGGTGGCGTTCTGGTACATTCGTTTTTTTGAGCCGCAGCCGTTTGGCAGGAAACATATTCTCTCAATACACTCTAACACGGAGTTGCGAGTTGGATCTGCGCGTTCGCACATTGGACAGGGGGCTTGTTTGCCATGGCAGTAGCTTCTCCTTGCCGGCCAGGTGGAGAAGCGCATTGAAATACCTGTGGTGGAGCTTGAGGAAGGGTGGGATTTGACATGCGTGGCAATCTCCGGACTGTATCAGACATGAGGTGCCATGGATATTGCTTCCTGGACCCTCAAACAGCAAGCAGTAGCTTTCCCACAAGCAAACTCTCCTTCATTTCACCGCGCGCGCTAGCATTTTTCAATCCACATACCAAGACCCATATAAACGCTTAAACATGTTTCCAAATATCAATCCACTCACCAAATGTTTTAAGTTATTCATTTTTGATAAATAACTTAAACCAACTCAATTTTCCTTAACCTCATTCTTTTTTAAATTTTCCTCGTGCCTGTAAGTTAATTCGTGTCTCGCTTTACCCATTTTCCTAATATCACAATTACACACATCACAATGATAATTAACCTTGCTCTTCCTTTTTCCTTTCTCACGGCATCTTTCACAATTTTTTATAATTTCCTATGAAACAATCCACATTCCTTTTACTCTGACAACCTGAACAATGTTTCTTTTCCATAACCTCTATTTTGTAATACCCACATCCCTTTAAATAGTTTTAGACACAAATAAGATTTTTCCTCTGGGGTAAGACCCTCATAGAAAAACCACCAAACAACAAACCACACAAAAAACCAAACAACAAACAATACAATAGACAATTACAAATATATTGAATAAATCTAATAATTTTATCTTATTAGAACTATTCATGATGAAGTGTAGTTGATAGAATAGGCAAAGTATTCATCATCGTCTGACCCCTGAACTTCAACGGTTCCACCAAAGGGGGAAAGAGGTTCCACCAAACGGGGGGAGAGGTTCCACCAAAGGTGGAAGCCCTATTAAAAAAAGTGATAAAATTGTTTCCACCAAAGGGGAAAGATGTTCCACCAAAAGGGTTGAAACTTGATTTCAACCCCAACACCAACCCCAAACTCGTTTTCCTTAATCCACCAAACTCACCAAGATTTCACAAATCAATTCAGCAGGTATTTTGTATAAATCGTCTTGCTTATGCTTTACATAATTCTCGCCCCAATTTTCCCGCTTTCCACTTGGTGCCCGTTGTGCAGTTTCAATATGTTTGTTATTAACAACTTTACCGCAGTCTTTATTACATAAACTTCGGGGTTTCCATCTATCAAGGTTGCTCCACAACCTAGTGCGCTTCCTGTAATTAAAATCATATTTACAATAGTCAATGTCATTAAACCTTAACCCATTCATAAAAGACTGACTTTTCAATAATCCAGTCTGTGGATTTTCAATAACAAAACACGGCCATCCGAAATATTCAATAATCTCTATTGTTTTTAATACAATACTATTAGCATATTCAATGTTTCTTATTCCTGTTGTTTTTGCTCTGCTGTATTCGGTGCAAGGAGGTGATGCCCAAATGAATGAGAAGTGGTTGCTGTCAAATTGTTTGTAATCCCAATCAAGTATATCACCATTAATATGAGCATTTTTCAATTCCAACGATATAACATTAAAACCGAGCGACTTTGCAATAAGTCCAACACTGCCTGTTCCACTAAACATCTCTAATAAATTCATTTATTAGAATGATTTAGATATTTATTATATTAATCCATAAGTTTATATTCATCACCATCTTTCGCGATTTTATAGTATTCTAATGTTTGTTCTTTTGGGTTCTTAATGCGCCCTTTGGACACCATCTCAAAATAAGATTGTCTTTTAGTTTCATGGTCGCCTGAGGGACGCCCTAATCCTTTCTTTTCAAAGATGTTATCCATCTTCTCCTTATCGTCTTCGTTCTTGAATACGTTATTGCTTTTAGGTTGGTTTATTTTTTCATCAATATTCTTAATAAGTTCAGTTAATGTTTTAATATTATTACTAATAATTATAACCTTTTTCATTAAATCGTTAATTGTAGAATCACCATTTTGTGACATTTTTATATATAAATATTTATATAATTATTTACTTATTTAATTATGCGTTTTTATTATACAATTTACCTGAATAATTTAATGTTATATATGTAAATAAATCATATTCTAACAGTCTTTCGCCAATTTTATTTTTCATTTGTATTAAACCTTCCTCGTCACCTGTAATTTCAAAAAAAAATCAATATTTTACCAAATTTATCTGGTTTAGTTATACCTTTCATAAAATATTTATCATTGAATTTAGCATCTAACCAATAAAAGTATTCTTCGCTCAATTGTTTAGCAAAGTTTACATCACCATTGAATATGTCTTTAATTTCTTCATCGTCGAAAGTTATAATTCTATGGTCTTCTCCATTCATAGTTGGCATTACGATTATATAAATATTTATATATTTATATATATATATATTTATTTATTTTTAAAGTGCAATTATGTTAAATCTACTCTTTAAATACTATTTTTTCATCATTTCTCTTATGGTTTCCTGCGTTTCGTTTTCATTATTATCCGAGAGTGTTGCATCCTTACCCCATTTAAAAGTTATATTAGTTTCTAAGTTGATACTGTCTTTAGTTTTATCAATATTCATGTTCTTATCATTTTTACTAATTTTGAAACTTGTTGGAATACATGAACATTTACAATTTCCTTTCTTTTGTATTTCTAATTCATTTTTCATTTCTAACATCTTTTTGCACATAGGACAAGCAACCTCAATAACTGCTGTTTCTTTAACAATTTCTCCGCTATCTTCATCTGTTGAAGAAACTGTAGTCTCTGTCTTATTCTTTTTGTTTTTCTTTCTTCCCATTTATATTAATATTTACATTTTTATTTTTGATATATTGAATTCCTAACTTAATTAATTCTAATGAATAATAACAGCATTTTTTAATTTTATTATCAGTTATTATTACTTGTTCTATATTCTCCACTTCATCTATTATATTAATATAATCTGAATAACTCCTATTCATATAAATAATAAGATGAAATAAGTATTTAATCTTATTATTTTCATGCATAATAGAATATTGGTGGGGCACAGCACTTGGAGTTTTCATTGCACACGCGAGAGAGACACAAAACTAATTATCTTCAATGCTTATTGATTGAAGCAATGAAAAACCTGTTCCATTATGTTATTCACCGCCACTCAAAACATAATGATGTTCCATTCAATAATAAATATATGTTTTTTTCTAAATATCTTTAATATTATTTTTATTATGCCTGATGTAAAACCAATTGATGAAATCAAATATGACTTTAAGCAAAGCAAGCACGAGGTCGTCCCTAAATTGCCGATGAGAGCTATGATCGTGGGCCCGTCTGGTTCTGGAAAATCGACACTACTTGTATCAATGATACTTGATATTTACAGAGGAGCATTTGAAAGAATTTTTATCTGGTCTCCATCTGTAAATTTGGATAGCATTTGGTTGCCTGTTACAAAATACATTAAAGAAGGTTTAAAAGTTGATACTGATAAAGAATCGTGTTGGTGGGATGAGTTCAATGTTGAAGAATTGAATACCAGAAAAAACAAGGAATGAAGAAGTTATTTAATATTTTTCTAGTTTTAGATGATGTATCTGATAATCCAGCAATAACAAGAAATAACAAATTGTTAAATTCTTTATTCTGTAGGGGACGTCATAGTGGAATATCAACACTTGTCAGTCTTCAGAAATCATCAACTGTCCCACCAATTATTAGAGTAAATATAAGTCATTTGTTTTATTATAATCTTAGACACTTCAAAGAGATAGAACTATTACAAGATGAATTATCAGCAATTGTTAGAAGTGATAATTTGCTAGAAAGCAAGAAACTAATTTATAAAATATATGAAACTGCTACTGACGAACCACACAGCTTTTTGTATATTAACCTTTTAGAAAAGAACCCAGATAAAAAGTTTATGAAACGCTTTAATCAATATTTGAAAATAACTAATCAATAACATTAAATTTATTGTTTAATGTTATTAATTTAAATTAATGAAGCGTTGCAAAACTGTAAATTTGGTAATTTATATATTAGTTTGTCTGATTTTTCTTTTTCTAATTTTTCTTTTCTTGATACACATTCTTGAATAGATTTAATGATTAAAGTATCTGCTCTTGTTTTTTCATCTACTCTTAAATTCTTAATGTCTTCCATACTGCTATTTTCATCGTTTTTACCTTGTCCAATACCCATTATATATTTATTATTTAGATTTTTCTTTTTTCAATTCCTTAATTTCTTTTTCAAGTTTATCTATTTTATCATTGAATTCTAATACTGCTTTATGAACTAACACAGGTAAAACTAAATAATTCTATCCTAAATACTCTCTATCTTTACTAACACCATTTTCAAATTCTTTAGGAATTGCTTTTAATACTTCGTCTGCCAAATAACCTATATGAGTTTTACCGTCATCATTTCTATCGTGTCTCTTAAACTTCTTCGGTTTAAATTTCTTAATGATATTCATACAATTAGATTTGATATTGTCTATGTCATATTTCAACCGTGAATCAGATGAATCAACAAATGTTCCGTTAATCGTTACGGTTGTTGCTGTTAAATCTATATTTGTCCCTGTTGCTGGCTCAATTAAATTACATTTTTCGTTCCTGCAACCGTTATATTTTCCTTAAAAGTTGATGGAGCATTATTTGTAAAACTTTCAGTATTTACTGTTGTTCCAAATGTCTTATCACTAGATAATAAAACTGAAGGTGTACTCGAGCTATCTGAAACTCTAAACGCTGTGTTTGATGTTCTGAATATTACATCAATTGTAGATAAATTAGGTCCATCATAATAAGTTGATATTTCCGATGTTCCCAGCTTAATATCAGTTCCAGTAGTCATTGAAATATTATCCAAAAATGAAACCGTTGTTAAATCAAATGATTGAATGGTATTAGTTGCTAAATATGCATTTTGTATTGCCATATTAGTATCAACGGTTACCAAGGTTCCTCCGTTAGGTGCTAAATGATTGCTTCTTAATGCTCCATTAGTTTTAACATAAACATCATCAGCAAATAAATTACCCATAAAATCAGCAGTAGCAGTATTAAAAGTCCATCCGGTAGTAATATTAA